ACAAAATAGTGTCTTGGGCAATAATGGGTGTCATCCATATGCCATGCTCAGTTTGTTAAAGCTAGCAAGGTCAGGGCTGTGAGAACACAAAAGACTTGAGTGAGAGGGCCAGTACCATTCTTGAAAGCCTTCGACAGAAGCTGTACAGCAGAACTACCACCTCTGCATTTGTGCAGCCTCCATAATGGACCCCAGAAGTGGAACAGGTAAAGACAGCAAAGCAAACAGCATTTAAACAATCAGAGAAAATTTGAAAGACACCTCACAGGTTACAAGATAAGCTAGAAAGAAAACGCAGAAGATAGTTCAAGCGGTGTGCAGCAGATGCAAAATTAAAAGGCTAACTATAATCAAAATTGGAGGGGATAAATCACTGGGTACAGATACATATGGGGATGGACCACTTATGGAAGTATCCAGAGTGCTGTGATGTTGACTCTTTAAAGTCATTTGGGCTGCCTCTTGCTTTTCACTTCAATTCATGTGTAGCACCTGCGTTGGTAGTTGTTCTGGTTACATCCTCACTTATTGGCCAAACTATTTGATCTCTTTCTCAATGAAACAGTTTACCATTTGAGAAAATTAAATATAAGAATAATAACAGACTGTTACTACTTTAAGAGGTTGCTTGATCTCATAATGCTTGTATCTAACACTGCATGCTTATTAATAAATTTAATGTTTAAATATAATTTGTGTGTATTGTCTGAGTTACATACTGTATGCTGCTACAGGCAAAATTCATGCTTTCAATATTTTAACTTGTTTTGATTTCCTTGTTGGTGCTTAACCATAGACTTTTTATTAATGCTCTGGTCATTCTGCTGAAAAGTCCATTGCTGTTTGTGACATTTGTCAATTTCTTCATCTTTTAATATTAACTCTCAGAACATTGTACAGCTTTTCCTTTATTTCCTAATCTGCTGCCAAACCATTGTACCTAATTTTTGGTACTTTGCGCACTATGTGATATAAAATGCGTCACAAACTAAAATTAACCAACCGTGATCAAGTCTCATGGTTAGTCATTGCGAATGACTGGCCGCGTGTGTTTGGATTTACTTTGTGGGGTTTAAGCGGAAAATTCTGAAAATTCACAATGAAGAGAGCAGCTGATGAATACAGCAGAAAAGTGAAGCAGGTCTACGTTATTCACAATCCAACAGGTGATCGATACTTTGGTTGATTCAGACATTTCACGAATCGAATATGTTCCCAGTTGAAGTGCCAGTCAGTGAGAGCTAGAGTGATGAGAATCTTGACAATTAGATTTAGAAATAGATCGATAGAGAAGAGGATGTGTCCCTCAAACAGGATCATCTGGTGCTCACTTTGTGAAACAAGGCCATAATATTGGCGCTAAATGAAGGTAAAAATTTTCTACAATGCCTCCCAAGTTTCATCTTTTGCATCTATACATTTGTAGGCTTTCCCATATGGAACGGCCTTATTTTGCATTGATCAACTTTTGCTTTTTTTTTTCCTGTCACCAGGGTTCATAGCCAAATTTACCAATCAATTTCAAGGCTTTTCAAGGTCTCCTTAGATTTTTTCAAGGTTGTCTCGGTGTAATACTGAAACAAGATTTTTGCCTTGTTCAAGGGTGTACTGAGCACACAAGGTACTTCATTTGTGCCACATGTGTTGGTATACCAGCACAGATATCATCATTATGTAGCATTTCCTTTGTCCTGACAAAAAAACCTCGGTCTCTCACCAGCTCTCCCGCCTCATGTACTTTTTTATACTCAAGGAGTCTCTTATATCCTGTGCCCATCTTCGTGTTGGTCGGCCCCTGAGCTTGATATAGTGTTTGAAATTTTTTTTTTAAGGCTTGGTGGTAGAGGGCAGCAAACTGAAGTCCTGTCTGTTCTGGACCTGGTACCTGAGAGGGTTAGGGGAGAGAGAGAGAGTCATGAAGAGAGAGGAAGACACATGCTGAGGTAGGCTGGGAGAGACAGTGTAAAGATGGACAGATGAAGGTAGAGAAAAGAAGGAAAAGAAGTCTGGGGAAGGAGGAAAAAATGAGAGGGAGGGATGGAGACATGATGAGGAAAAGTGGGGAAGGGACAGCGAAAGACAGAGAGGGAGACAAATACAGAAAGAGGGAATGCAGATACAGAGATGGGCAGATGAAAAGAGAAGGAAAAAGGGAACGAAACAGAGATATGGAAGGAGGAAAATATGACAAAGAGTTGAAAGAAGGGAGACAGAGGGAGAGAGAACGGACAGGGTGAGAAGCAGATGCAAGCAGAGAGAGATGTAGACATAAAGGAGAGAGAGACAAAGGAACAGCACAGAGAGGCAAGCAGACAGAGGGAGAGAACTAAAGAAAGAGAAAAAAGGCAGAGCAGGAGAATGGGAGGGAGGTATACAAAGAGGAAGTGATGAAGGGAGGCAAACAGACATAAAGAGAGAGAGAGAGAGAGAGAAGGCAGTGACAAACACAGATTAAGAGAGAGGGGCAGAAAGGGAGACAAGATACATCAAAGAAAAAAACAGCCACCTACTCCCCCCCCACCCCACAATTTCAAGTGTAGTGGACACAACCACTAGAAAAGGTAGTTATGGGGCAAAAAAATACGTAGATGAACCAGTAAAAAAATGGGGGGGGGGGGGGGATGAAAGAGGGGAGCGGGTAAGGAAATCTAGAGAAAATGAAAAGACAGGATGGAGAGGAGACAAAGAAGAGATGGGACATGAGAAAGGGCAAGGAAAGGAAGAGAGGAAGAATGGAGAGAGAAAGGAGAATAGTAGAAGATCAAAGGAAAGAGAAGGGGTGAGAGAAGAAAGGTAAGACACGGTTGTGGGGGGGGGTGTAAGAACAATGAGTGCCAAAAATAGAATTAGGAAATCTCTAAGTGAGGCCACTTTTCCAGTTCCTACCCTCTCCCAATGTGAATGTGGCCATAGTCCAAAAACAACAGTGCTAACCCCTACTGCCCCTTGCTTGTCCTATCTGTGTGTGACAACAATAATTCAATTTCTTACACTTAAGGCTGGTGACCTGAGAGCCAAGGTCATTTTATGAAGAAAAAAAAAGTCCAGGGGATCCCAACCCACCACTGGTGGAAAATAGAGAAGTTTACCCACACACATAAATAGGTCAGACATATAAATAGGTCAGGGCAGCAGTGGACTTCTGTTTTATTTCTGGTTTTCCAATTACAGAAAGGAGGGGAGAGAGGGGGTGGTGGAAAGTTGTGTAGAAGGCTGAGGTGGTAAGGGTGAGACAGAGGAGGTGAGAGAATAAAGTTTGAGAAAATAAAGTGGGAATGAGACAGGGAGAGAAAGAAGGGAGTAAGAAATCAGATGAGATATAAAGGGAAGAAGGTAGCAGGAAGGGGTGCACTCCCTCCCCTAGGTGTCATCAATGTGGGAGGAGAAAAGGGGGGGGGGGACGGCAAATGTGTTTTTAAAAGTACACATATATTTAATGTGTGGGAGGGGGGAATGGTGGACATGAAATGTTCTGCACTAGGCAATACATAACCTACTACCCAACTGAAGGTATGGAGAAAGAAAGAGAGAGAGAGAGAGAGGGAGTGAGGGAGAGTGGCAAATACAAAAAGAAAGAGAGAGAGGAAAGCAGTGACACAGACAGGCAGAGAGTGAGGAACAGGTAGGACAAAATGTGAGGGGGCGGGCAGGGAGATGGACAGAGATTAAGGCCGCTACTAAAACAAACACATCAAAAGAAAATATCCACCATGTTCACACAGAATGCGGCCCCCCCCCCCACACACAACTTCCTGTGTACTTGAGTTGCTAGGAAGAGTTATGGAGCCGCACATTTACTAAACATTTAAACAAAAGATATAAAATAGGAAAAAGGGGGAGGGGGGACAGGAAATGAGAGAGTAAAAGGAAAGATAGAGAGAAAGAGAAGAAGATGATCAGAAGGGAGGGTTAGATACAATGCAGGAGACGGGAAGGAAGGAGCAATAGGTAGAAGAGTGAAAGAGGGAGGGAAGAGAGAGAGAGAGAGAGGGGTGAGACAACAAAAGAGGGAATCTCGGGGAATTACAATACTGATCGCCAAACACACTGTAAAGATAAATCCAGGCCAAAAATAGAACTGGGAAATCCAGCTGCAGTCACTTTGCTTAGCCCCAATGCCATCTCTAATTAATAGAGAAGGCGCGACTCTATTTATAAATACAACTGAACCTAGCCCCACCATCTCCCAATGTAATCCTTTCTAGAAACCATGGCCATAAACGATTTATACTGTTTGTTCTGCCCGACTTGCTAGAAACAAAAGCACACACACACTCGCGAGACAGAAGCTGCTCCTTCGCGCCCCATGCCACACCGCTGCTGTCTGCATGTATTCATGATCTGCAACAAAGCCCGCCCTCCCCTGGCCTTTAACAAGCCATTCCGGCTGAAAATAGCCAATAATCAGCTGCCCCCACACCTGAAACGACCATACAACGAAAGTAGCCAAAAACTAGCCAAATGGCCAAAAAAGCCAAATGGCTCCCCCAAAATTGCCTGTGCTGAAAAAACACAGGATTTCTGAAAATTTCATTGCCCCGGTCAAAATTCACGGCTTTTCAAGGTCGGAATGTCTTTTATAAGCTAAAAATCACGGTTCAAGGTCAACGAAAAAAATCCCGATAATTTCCCGGTCCACTACGAACCCTGTGTCACTTTTAAAAGATGCTTTCACAAGTAGGTCAGGCAGTATATTGGACCAAGGATGATTTGTTCACTTTAAAGGACTTTGACCGGATATTATGAGCTATCAATTCTATCCTGGGCTACAATAGTTTATACACATTTATAAACCCACAGCTCTATCAGGCCTTTTTACATATTATTAGTAATCTACTTTCCCAACAGGCCATGTTAGGCTCACTGGCTTGGTTTATACCTGGTTGCCGCTACCAAGAAGCTCAAACTTCTATATATCAGCCTAAATGTCAATGCTGAGCACAAAGAAATATAAAAACGCAATAACATAAGCCATTTTACACAGAACATTTATTGTTTGTTTAAGATCTAGGACGCTCCTTCTTTCCCTTGAACAAGGCCAGTAGAGATACGTTAGCGACCTTGACAATCTTGAAGCGGACACCAGGAATGTCACCGACGGCATGACCTTTACGACCAAAACCAGCCACCAGAACTTCGTCGTTTTCCTGAAAATAAGCACAGAGCATTAGGAACAGACAACATATATAAAAATTACATTTCACATGATGTGTCCAGCATATCAATTACTGATTATGTTGTAAATGTTGCTTTCCTTTTCCTTGCGTTCGGTTTTAAATGCTTAAGTCAGAATATCAGGTGGGATGCCTCTATGAATTTCATGGTTCCCCAAAGCTTGCTCTGCACACTTTGCTCTTGAGGCCAGGTTTCTTTCAGAATGTGCTCAGGTGTTTATGGACCTGTTTGATAGGCACTCTGTGGGGGCTGTAGTCTAAATTTTAAAAACTGGTGTGTTGCTTTCTATTGAATCTGCTGACAGGGTCTTGTGGAGGTTTACCCAGAATCCACACACTGAGCAGACTAAAATAGTAAATTATACATTTTAAAATCCTACTTTTATGAAAGGATCTACAAAAATTATTTAAAAATGTACATCATGTGCATGTTATAGCAGCAAATACTAAAAGCTAGGTAATAGCAGTTTTAGTATTGTACATACTGTGTTCAGTAATAAAGAAAAGGAAAAAGCTGTAATTGTTTTCTGTGATATGCAAATTAAGAATTTATCAACACTTAAATATTTTCTATGCCCACTCTAGTGCATAAACATGCAGATATCAGAAGAACTTCACAAAAGCAAGAATCTGTTAAAATTTCAGGAAATCTTGTCAATACACAACAAATAAATGTGAGTGTATTCTCAATTGGACAGCAGTCAGAAACTGTCCCATAAAGATCAGGGGAAAAAAGCATTTATCAAAACTGAATGAATCATATTCTAGAAAAAACACCAACACATAATGGTAAAGGTTTGTGCTCCCTAAAAATTTTTTTTTACTTTGCAGAATTTGTTAGGAATTATTCACCACAAAACCAAATAGTGGCTGATAAAACAGCTTTAAACTGTTTCTCCCAGACAAAATGATCTGAGTTGTAGGTGTACTAAAAAACAGAGTGATTGGGAGTAAGTTGCAAAAAAAAAAAAAAAAAATTACAAGATGTGTGTGTCCTCAATTCTGACAAAATGTGCTGGATCCACAACCAAGAAGAACAGCATGTAAACTGCCTTCCAACGATGCCATATCACCAGTCTTTAATGTTGCACATCATTCGACCAAACAAGAAATCAGATTCAAGCTCGGAGATACTGTGTGCAAAGTTTACAATATCAGAAACTGCATACAAAGCTTGACCAACTGTTGACAAATTACAGCAAGTAAGCAAGTTTAGATGAGATGGACTGACACATTTGACAACACAATGCCACAAGATCTAACTGTCAGTAGTGATAGCTTCAGAATGTTGTATACAATAAAGTAGCAAGCTCTACTATTTAATCATATCATTAAAAAAATAATTTGTAAATACTAATAGTAAATTTCTATCTATGATCACTCTTCCCCACAACCACACAAGCATCAGAACTGCTCTTTTTACACAAGATCGCATAAATTTCATAAATGAGTGAAGAAATCCAACAAATTTAAATGCTATAACATTGCAGGAAATCTTTAGTCAAGCAGAGCCAGCAACTGATGTGTTGGCTGTCTGCTAGCTTCAGAAATCTGACCACTTGGTGAACTGATGTGACAAGCTAGATGTGAGGGCTAGTGAACAGTGAGGAGCCACAAACTAATCATAAGTTACCAGGAAATCTGGCCAACACTCACCACAAAGAAGAAATGTGAGGCGGATATACAGAAAGTTACAGGTACCATCGGAATTGGAACTCTTCGCTTACTGCTGAAGATGTGGGACGAAGCTTATGGGAGTGTCCCGAGTGCCATGATGTCAATTCCTAATTCAACAATCTTCACTTAGCTGTTTAGTCTTGTGTATACTACTATCACAAACTGCACCTCTGGGGACCAGAAGGCAGACGTCTGCAAAATTTATCTTGTGAAATTACTCCAAGAATTACAAATATGGTTCATAAATTGTTAGAATGATGCATTTTCCATGCATGAAACAAAAAGATTTTTTTTTAATGTACACATTACACTGGGTGTCAATCATTTCTTTCTTGATTTTAGGTTTCTATTTTTTTTTTTTTAAAGTCCTACACAGGATGCAAGGAAAAATTATGTCTCAACAGATAAGTGCACAACAAATGGCCAGGTTCAAGCCCCTGTCTGTCAGCTAGGCTTAAGTAGAGCAGTAGACCTGTACAAGGTCTGTGCTTAATGATTACAAAATGTACTGGATCCACAACCAACAAGGACAGAATATTGACTGCCTTCCAACGATGCCACATCACCAGACTTTGATGTTGCATCACATTCGACCAAACAAGAAATCATATTCAAGCTCGGAGATACTGTGTGCAATGTTTAAAATCGAGTGCAGAATATTGCTGACTACTGTACATGTAAGCAGGTATCAATAAATCACTATTTTAATGTAACATGGCAAAAATAACATTTATATGTGGAAAGGAACTGATGATAACTAATGAAAGACAACAAATTAAAGAATACAAACATATAAGAGAACCAACCGGGTAACAAATAGTCAAAGCACAAACATCACTAAAATAAAAGAAAGAAGTAAGTTATGATAGATGCTGTCTACTCCCAGTCAAGTAGTAAGTGTATCAAGTATTGAAAACTGAGTAACATGTTTCAACAAGTTCTACAATAAGAAATCAGAAATAAAATATAGTACTGACTTCAATGAAATTCAAACAGCCGTCGTTGGGAACGAATGCGGTGATCTTTTTGCCGTTCTTGATTAGCTGTACCCTCACACATTTTCGGATAGCAGAATTGGGCTGTTTGGCCTCAACACCACTGCAAACATGACGAAACAAATCTATTAAACGTTTGATAAAGGGCCTCAAATAATAATCGCAATCAATTATAGCACAATGGTGTAATGTCTTCTTCAGTTCAATTTTACCACTTAGAGTGTCAGAGATTTAAGAGTTTTGCTTCTTGCTCGTTAGTCGAGCAGAACCTGTAGACAGTAAAATCTGTTCCTTTCAACCCCAAGACATCACTCACAGAAGCCAGCTTCAGGCCTCAAATGATATCAGAAAAAGGTGGTGAAGTGACAAAGTCCCCAATCAGACAATACGTCAAGATCTTGATACCTAGTCTTTAGAAACTAGAGTGAATCAGTCAGTTACAGTGGTTTAAACATGTATGCAGAATGGGTGAAAATATGACCCAATGGCAGGCATAGGAGGCCAAGAACCAGACCTCCAAGACGACCAAGGGACAGTCCCCTACAGATGACTGGAATGGAACAAAGTCAAAAAGAAAACTGCTGACAGAAAAGTCTGGTAAACCTCTACACTTCAAGGTAGAAGAGGAGAAACTCAGTAAGTCAGCAGTAAGACAACTAACAAAAATTCTTGATTAGTTTTCGACTATCCTCCGAATAACAGTCCCAAATTATGGAGGCTGAAAATATACCCTAACAGGGCCTCAGTCACATGTAAATTGAGGACCTCTTCCGGTGACTGCACAGCATACTGCGAAAAAGCTTCCGCCAAGTAAAAGTCACTGTCAAAAGTAAATTCAGCGTTGCTATGCACGACGTGGCGTTATAAACTAGATGGCTATCACCCACAAGCAGCAGCTACCTCATCTCATGCAGCTTCCTCCATTATTTGCCTCCGAGTCTTAACCATTTAGTTTAGCCCCGGTCTGTGCCGCGCAAAGCTATGCGAAAGATACTCGAGCAGTATACTGTGTAGTCGCCGCAAGAGGTCTGTTGGGGTATATTTTCGGCCTCCATAATTTGAAACCCTTATTCTGAGAAGTCTAGTTGTCTTTTATGACATGCCTGTTAAGAGGCAATGAATCATTCCCCTTTCACCCCCCCCCCTTCCAATGCGGCCACAGATTCTACTCTAGGCAACCTCTTCCTGACAATCGACAGGGGATAAATCTGGAAATACTATAATTGCTATATACATGGCACAATACTAAGCAGAGGCGCTGAGTATCTAACATACATCTTCAGTCACCAATATTTCCAGGAACAAAACCTGACTGTCCTTAGAGCAGCTGGCATGTTATGGTGTGTTACAACTATGCTGATTGTTAGGGGGCACTGGGTCTACTAACACACATCCCAAACACAATCGATTCTGACACCATGCATTAAATCAAGTTATATTACAGGTTTACATGTTGGGTTTGTTGAAGACCTGCTCATTTGCCATTTTTAAGATTTGTGATTAAAAAAAACTTAATTTTGACAAAATCATGGAGGAAGAAGAAGAGAGCAAATAAATTCTACTGGTGTGGTATCCTGCATGCTACAGCGCATATGACCAGATTTAATTTTTATCAGGCAAAGTACTCATTTTGTGTTGATCAAAATCCTTGGTCTGTATGCTGTCTCCTGCAGGTATTGCCCATGAAGAATTTACGGAATTGAGATTAAACAGTCATGAGTCAGTAAGTACATGACGATTCCTGGGATGAGCCCAGCACCAGAGCACCATGTGTTAACTCTGCATTTATCAAAGGCAGAAAACGCTCATGTTCTGTCCCTGCCTTCTGTGAATGCTGACTAGCGTCACAGCTTGTCCGGATCGGCTGATGGGATGGGAGAAACCACCTGTAAACTAGGAAGCAAAGGTCACCACACAACAGTGAAACTGGTGTCCCACAAAAGTAACACGGAAGGCTGATCCGGGAAATAAATGCCTGCATGTCTGAAGTGTTGGCCAAAAGTTGCAAAATTTAAAACATAGTTACACCTTCAAAGTAAAGCAAAAAAATACTGTCTCAGCTCAGGTGGGTGCACATGAAACGACCAGGCGCAAGTCCTGATCGGTCAGCTAGGTACAGTAAAGCAGTAGATTTTTACAAGGTGTGTACGTTCCATGATGATAATATGTACTGGATCCACAACCAAGAAGGACAGAATGTGACTGCCTTCCAACGATGCCACATCACCAGACTTTCATGTTGCATCACATTCGACCAAACAAGAAATCAAATTCAAGCTCGGAGATACTGTGTGCAATGTTTAGAATATTTAACAGCATGGAGAGGTACAGCTTTATCATACTAGATCAAGCATATTAACATGTATTCTTTGCACTGAAGATGGTTTTAGCTTACACTTTTTCCAAAACAATGCCTTTAGCGTGGGAAGATCCCTGAAAGGGGTTAGCCTTCCACCTGGTGCCCAAGTGAGCCTTCTTGTAATCCTTGTCGTGCCATCTCTGCTCACGACGATGATCCTTCAGCTTACGAGCTGTGTGCAGTCCCATAGGCTTACCTAAACATGGAGAAATCAAAAGTATCATCATTGAGAGCACTGCTGAACTAGTTTAGATTCATTTACAAAAGTGGTGAAAACAGGTGGCTAGTCACAGGAAATCTAAGGCTATTTTCTGAATAACGGTCCCAAATTATTGAGGCTGAAAATATACCCTAACAGGGCCTCAGCCACGTTGTCAATTACGGACTTCGTCCACCGCCGAGAGTATCTCCCACACTAAACTAGATGGCTGGTACTCACGGGCAAATAAAATAAAGGAAGCTACAGGAGATGCGGTAGCTGCTGCTTGTGAGTCCCAGCTATCTAGTTTAGCTACAATCCACGCTGCGCATAGCAGTGTGGGAGATACTCTCGGCGGTGGCGGTAGTCGCTGGAAGTGTACAATTTAAGTCACCGGACGTCCGCAATTTACATGTGACCGAGGCCATGTTGGGGTATTATTTGGGACCGTTATTCGGCGGAAGATAGCCGGAATTAATCCAATGACCATAGAAAAAAAGGGGCACAAAGATCGACGTTTTAGCCAGTCTTTCTCAACACAGACTACACAACAATTACAAAGGGTGAAGTGCTCCAACAATTTTCTCTTCCTATATTTTACAGCTCTTTCTTGGTAATTGGAGTACTTTGCCCTTTGTTACTGTTAAATATATATCGAGAAAGGTTGCAGCCGAAACAAGTGTCTATTTTATGCATGTTGTTACCCTTTACATTTTTTTAAGTCTTCCCCTCACCCTATACCTGTTATAACGTTTTAGTGTGGCTCGCTGTGGTAGACAGTAAGAGGGCATTCTTGTTGGGTGTCCAAACCACTTCATTGTTGTTCTTTGATGACCAGTAATACTAGCTTTGTAATAAAGCAAAGCACCAGCAAGGGTGCTGAAATATTTTGGGTAAATTAGATTTATAACTCCAAATTTTGCCCGGGCAGTGCCATTTGGCTGCTCTTTTTCGATTTCCAACTGCCAAGGTGTTTTTAAATGATCGCTACAGGTTTGTTTTAATTATTAGTTACCTTTATTACATGACCAGACTATTACATGCTTGTGCAGTGGTTCCCCCCCCCCCTTTTTTTTTCCCCGAACGAAACCCTGCATTAGCTGGACGGCCTGTCACCTCTTGTGAACAATCGACAGCAAAATAATTTCATGGAATTATTAAAGCTGTCTATATACATGGCATAATACTAAACATTGATAAATCGGGTATCTAACATACATTTTCAGTCACCACAAGTCGGTGATGTTAGGTTGTCGAAAACAGGTGTACCGACAGTTTCCACGGCATGGTCTGTGTATGTTTGCAAACAATTCACACATAAACTATGTGCTTGTTTCTACAGTCTGTCACAGATGTATCTTGACATCGCAAATTATTTCAACATAGACAAAAACAAAACAAAAAAAGTATCTTTAAACAACATTTGTGTCATTTGTTGAAACATGTGAGAGCAGACTCACCCATGATTGCGTGCTGGCGTAGAAAGGAAGTTGCCACCACAATGACAGGAACTAGATGTTACAGGCCAAATTTGGTCTCATATTGCCGCTGTGGAGTTCGTCACAATTATTGTATAAATCCAACGAGAATGTATGTTGGGATGAAGAAGCGACAAGGACAAGTGCATACATAGTTCAGTTTGGGAACATACAATCACACACAACTTTTTCTTCTAGCGTTCTTCTTCTTTTGTCGTCTCACTGATGCTAGGTTGTTGGCCAATGTCGTGGTTTTATATATTTGTCTTGCGCTTCTTAAGGTTATTGATATGCCCATCTTTTGTGTAGGTTTTAGCTACGCCATTTATCCACGTCTTTCTGTGTCTTCCTCTCGACTGTTCTGCTATAAAAGATCTCATATGTAGTTTGATCCAGATGCATTCTCACTATATGGCTAAACTATTTCATTCTTTGTCTGTCAGTATAATCTATTCCAGTGCCCTACTCATTGTCCATGTTTGGCACTGATAAAATAAAGTGGGGATGGAGATGCTAATAATCATTTGCTGTTTCGCTAGAAGCGTTCTAGCGTTCACCGACTGTAAACTTCAGGGAAAAGTGCTGGTTGTTTGTCCACTTCTGGAATACCAAGTTCTGGAACAAGACTGAAGTCTAGAGGTGGACGAACAATCAGAACTTTCCGCGAAAGTTAACAGCCGGTGAAGAAGAAGATTTGTGTGTCCATAAACCCTCTGTCCCTATCTTCAGCGGCAAACGAAGAGTTCTAATTCCGATGGTACCAGTAATTGTCTGACTGTATGTCCGTCTCGCCTTTTCCTTGAGTGTTCAGCGTCGGTCAGATCCCCTGGCAACTCATTGCAGCGCCATTCTACTCTAATCGTAACGATTTATCTGTGCCTCTGCACTGTTCACTCGTTGTGTAAGGATTTACTCGGTACCTCAACTCTGGCGCTAGCAGGCTCTGTGATTTTTATACGGATCCTCATGGAAGACTCCTGTGACATGTCCCCATTGTGCCTCACGGATAATGGCTCTAATGAGCATACATTGAGTTGGCAGGGCATCTCGGAGTTGGTGGCCCCCAAAAATACAGTTCCCAAAAATAAATTGGTTCTCATCAGCCCACCCCAAATAAATGGGCTATAACGTCTATCAACGCTCATTTGGAACACGGATAAGCCATCGAGCATGTGTCATACCATAAATGACGCGCTCAGTCCAAATGTCTAATTTGGTGCCCCCACCCACCTTCTAACTAAATTTGTTAAATTTGTAAGGAATCTTCAGCATTCCGAGCTCTTAGGGTTTATTGTTGCAGACATCACACAACTGCATTAATCTTTGTGAATGGTCTTGTCTTGTCTTTCTTCTTCTTCTTCTTCTTCTTCTTCTTCTTCTTCTTCTTCTTCTTCTTCTTCTTCTTCTTCTTCTTCTTCTTCTTCGTCGTCGTCGTCGTTCACCGGCTGTGAATTCCGGCGGAAGATCCCGTAGTTCGTCCATTTGGACTTTTGGCTTTTACCTGGACCTGAGTTTTGCGTGTACATCCGTTTTACTGGCTTATTTGTTTTTCGTTCCCTGCATCACCGGCAGATGTACTCCGACTTCGAGGGAAAGTCTTGTCTTTCAGTCTGGTCTTTCAGTCTTTTGTTTATAAATAATTTAGATGTTTAGTTATGATGATGGTGGCGATGGTATTGGTGGTTATGATGATGATAATGTGCTGAATGGCAAAAATTTTTATAATATGATCATGTGAACCACGTGATAATGAAGACAAATGGATGTTTGACAGCGCTATGTATTATGGCTGCAACAAACTGTTAGCAGCGTCGCCTATTTTTCGTATACTTTGCTTTGGCAATTCTGACTCTTTAGCCGTACACAGACAGACTAAATCGGATACAGAATGAGGCCATGCGCATCATACTTGGATGCACAAAAATACAGCATGCAGAACGATGCGTTACCTCCTTGATCTCCCAACCATGAATGTGAGCGCAGCGATCTTCCGAGCACGTGCGTATCAGTGCTGATACACACCATCCATTGTACAGTGAGATTCGCAGAAAGAAGGTTAGCAGGTTCAACAGTGGAAAATCCTGGGTGGGTCAGACTGGGGACATTATTCAACAAATTGGTTCAATTGAGGAATGGATACGTGTTGCGCGCTGATTTAGTGAGGGGTAATATTGTGTGTGAAGGGATAATGGTATGAGAGTGATTCTGTGAGTTCACGGGGAATTGTTGACCAGCGAGAAGGGTAGTGCCACGAGAAATTGGACGCGTGTGTTACTGTGTGTGTGTGTGTGGGGGGGGGGGGGTGAAAGCATGACTAAACAGAGAAAGTGTGAATTGAGTGACAGCGTGGTTCTCAGGTAACATCAGCCACCCACATAAGTGTGATCATCGAGAACGCCCACATGAGCGTGAGTCTCGAGAACACCCACAGGAGCATGATTCACGAGTACGCCCATACGATCGTGCCTCTCGTGGAAACATCATCCACCTACACGGATTTGAGGGGGATAAATTGGAGGGCTGAGTAGTCAGTCAGAGGCAGTCAGAGTCGAAGAGAGAAGAGAGAGAGAGAGAGAGAGTCAAGAGACCAAGTCAGGGTTCGTGATATCTCTCTCGAGTCTAACAGACAATAATACCGTACGACTATCAGGCATTAAGGTCTGAGTAAGTGTTGAGGTTGCGGTACTGGTCGAAGGTATGGTCCCGCTGGCAAAGTAAGTCCGAGGGGACGGAATGCGCCAGTAGTACCTGTTCTGGGTGGCGACGTAGTAAAACGTAGGAGGACCACTAGTGAAATAGAACAGGGGTGTCATGTCGACGAGAGTTGTGTGCTAGAGGGGACTTATGGTAGAAGTCCTGTCGGTCATCCGAGCCCTTCGACAAGCTGACGACAGCTGTGTGTTTTCGGAGTACGGCAGGGGAAGTCCGTCTCCAGTCAGCCGTGCTGTCTGCTGAAATAATATCAAGGTCCAGTCAATGGGAGAATTCGTCCTGTTCAACTGTACGGAGCGTCCAGAGTGTGGGACGCTGTAGTCCTTGAAGCTGTAGTGGTCAAGGAGACGTTGCTACAAATTGAGAGAGCGAGTGAGGACAAATGGATTATGTGCGAATGTCAACTGTGATCAATAACTACGTCTCTGCAGTTGTGTCATGAATCCTGTTGAATAAAATGTATGACGGTATCATAGTCGTCGAGTTCTCTTTCTAAGAGAAGAAGCGGAAGGGTACCTGCTAGACGATTGGTAGTGTGCTGGCTAGTGGTAACTCGTTTAGCACACAATACGAGTGCCAGCAGAGTCGGGTAAATCCTTTTCAGTCTGCATACAACTGGGTGGTCTAATGAAATCTAGTCTCAAAGGAATTAGTTTCATTTTTGTGCCAGGACACTTCTGGGTGAGAGGGAATAAAAAGCAGACTGCCAGGGCCACGACAGGTACAGAGCCAGTCTGCAAGAAACGACCTCCCCACCTAAGGGTCACTATGGTCCACAGCAGGACGCGTACGGACATGACCCCGCCCCGAAAGCCCCTATGCCACGGCCCCCTTTAGGGCTTTATGGCCCTACTGTGGGAGCATCTGTACGGACACGCCCCCTCCTCTAAAGATCCATCTGTGGACCCCAGTCTTTAGAGACAGCCTCCCCTCCCCTCTCTCACCCTGAAAGCCCCTGTGGACACCTGTCTACACACGACCCCAACTAACGGCACACACACGCACATACATAGGACCCGGATGGCTACCATATGCATTAATGCGAGTGTATGCTAGATATGCTGAGACAGCAGTCTGTCAATCTTTCCACAAGGGACTGTAATAAACATTCTGGGTGTTTTTCGCTGGCACAGGAGCAGAGCAAAGATGGGGCGACCCGTTTGCTATGAAGCTGAAACTAAGACTACCAGACTACCAGACATACATAGGACCCGCCCAGTGCATTCTGGGACCTGCTTCCGGTGTCACACAATTATAATCACAAGATTTCCGTTCACGGGATCCGCTGTTTTCTGTCGACAAGGACACAACAACAAGGCCACACAACGGCTTCTTGTTTGCTTTATTTTCACTAAACATGGCCTACCTCATCAGTTTTACACTGATTGTTCTCATCAAGATATATGCTGCTGCCAGTTCATTCCACGGCACTCCAGTTCCGGCCCTGCTCTGGTCTCCAGAAAGGTATTTTAAATGTTTATATAATTTAATTTATATTGTCGGTTTTGTAAATAAATAAAATGATAGAGATAAAATAATGAATGAGTTACATAAAATTATAGTTAAAATTAACTGGTTTAAACGTGTCAACTTGGATACTAGTTCCTTTTACAATTCAGTCAGCTTCATGAAGATTGGATTGTTGCTTGTGAAAAGACATGTACCCTCCCCCAGCTCACCAGAGCTGAAAGATAGGACAGACTTCACACAGTAGGTAGACATGTATGGCCTCCTCCGGTGGAGCTTAGGCCACCAACCAACCTTAACGAAACCATAATAACAGAGGTATCCTTAGACATATCCCAATCATATGTATGAATATATATATATATATATATATATATATGATATATATATATATATATATATATATATATATATATATATATATATATATATATATATATATATATATATATATATATATATATATGTATGATGAGCAGTGACAGTCCATACAGTACAAATACACAACTGAACGACCAACTAGTCTTAAGTTCAACATGGGGTGAGTAGAGGCTCTGGAAGATACTGAACACTAAAGTGGGAACAGAGGTGGACTTTTAATCAGGATGTAGCTGGTACTGTAGACACGTCAGCTCTTTGTTGGCTGATGTGAAGGGAGCTGCAGCATGTGTGGGAATGTCCACAGGGTAGTGGTGGCAATTCTTGGCTCTTCTTTCAATACCGGACGCGGTGGACGGCTTAGTTCGGTTTAGTGGCAGTTCTCTCCCTTGGCCGCACTGCAAACAGTGAGCGGAAAAGTCATGAAACAAATGACATACTTAGCTATCATCATACGGTTGTGTGTAGGGTTGCGTACGTTTGCGTAGTCATCAAACGGTTGCGTGTAGGGTTGCGTAGTCGTCATACGGTTGCGTGAAGGGTTGCGTAGTCATTATACGGCTGCGTGAAGGGTTGCGCAGTCAACATACTTTTGTGTGTAGGGTTGCCTATCATCATATGGTTGCGTAGGGTTAGGGTTAGGGGTTGGGTTAGGGGTAGGGTTAGATGTGAAAATTTTGACGTAGGAGTTCCAAATACTGGCCGACAATCTGATGCTTGTGGGAGTGGCGCCAATGACATTCTGCCAAATATGACGCCAATAGCGTGCGGCTGGTGCCCAATCGTTGGTGAATTGTCCGTTTGACTAGCATCCACAGGCCTTCGATTGTTTGTGTGTGTATGTGACTGTGTGTGACGTCAACAAAGTTGGTCTGGTGGACTACTACCTCGTGCAGATAGATGCCATGCCTTAAGTTTGCGACGTTGCTGTAGCCTCGCCAAGCGTCAATTTTCACATCTAACCCTACCCCTAACCCTACCGCTAACCCTATCCCTAACCCTAACCCAAACCCTACGCAACCCTACATGCAACCGTATGATGATAGACACCCTACGCAACCCTACACGCAACTGTATGATGATAGGTAACCCTACACGCAACCGTATGATGACTACGCAACCCTTCACGCAACCGTATGATGACTATGCAACCCTACACGCAACCGTATGATGATAGCTAAGTATGTCATTTGATTCGTGGACTTTTCCGCTCACTGTTTGCAGTGCGGCCAAGGGAGAGAACTCCCACTAAACTGAACTAAGCCGTCCAGCCCGCGTCCGGTATTGAAAGAAGAGCCCAATTCTTGGTTCATTCATTCATTCCATTTTCTTACTATATCGCACCACTGTTTGTTTATGATTATCTCTGTGTGGGTTCCGGGGCCCCACTGTGGGGGAAAACAAGAACAGACCCACTCCTCTCCAACAAGCATATCGTAGGAGTCGACTAATTACTAATAGGGGGGCTTCCTCTAAAGTCAGCTTGTATCAATTAGCCTTAGAGGCAAGGAACCAACATTCTGCATACAGATAAGTCAGATCTGAAAATGGATGTGCATGCAATACTCAAATTCTGGAACAAGTCTAAAGGCTAGAAGTAGACGAGCAACCATAAGTTTCCACTGGAGCTTACGGCCGGTGAACCCGAGAAGAAGTTTATGTTGTTTTGACTGACTTCAAACTTCTACTGCAGTGTATATCATGATGTGTGGTTTGTATTATACTGTCTATTTATTGTCTGTTTTGTTAGCAACCCTTCAAGTGCAAATAAATGTGGTTACTTCCTGAATTCACGGGGTCTCTGTGCAACTTCAGAAAACTAACACCTTCATTAAAATTAATACTGTTGAACAGAAGAAAATAAAGGACGTTGATTGCCTGTGAGACCTGGACACTTACTAAACAAGCGGAACAGCGCATAAATGCATTTGAATATAAATGTTACAGACAGGTTCTAAGAATATCTTGGGTAAAGAAAAGAACAAATGCATCCATACTTCAAGAGCTGAATATTGAAGAGGGTTGGCTAGTAAAGACAATAAAACAAAGAAAATTGAAATATTTTGGTCACTTGAAACGTCATGGAAGTCTAGAGAGAACAATAATGGAGGGGTATATGCCTGGGAAGAGAGGAAGAGGAAGGCCAAGGAGAAGATGGGTGCAGGATGTGGCAGATGATCTCCAGATGGGTGTATCAGACGCAGGACATCTTGCTCATGATAGGAAGGTTTTCCGGAGGGTTGTTATGGCAGCGAGGTTCCGCGAGGGACATGCTACTGAATGAATGAATGATTGCACTAACAAACATAACTTGGGGGTTTATAAGAGAGTTGTATAACGAGGATGTGTGATGTTCCCAAACCTTATTTTTCTGAATGACATGAGAGAACAGAGCATCAAGGATAAAAGACATGGCAGATTATACAGTATTGACTGCAGACATGTATAATGTCTGGAGCATTCCTTGTACTTCTGGGCTATTCAGCTAAGTTTACTTTGAAGCCAACATTTTGAAAGTGGGGATTGTTACAGGCCAGAGGGGAGCCACCGTGGTGTAGCAGCTAGATGCTCACCTGTGGGTGGGAAGGTCATGGGTTCGGCTCCTGACGGTACCAGACTTTAAAAAAAAAAATGACCTTGGCCTCCAGGTCTTGTATGGTACCAGGTGGCATTCTGGGAAGTAATTAACACAGGCAAGAAGCTGACCTATCGCCCACAAATTGCCGACTGGTCTATGAAATATGGGTCTAACTCTGTATGTTCAGTATACCTGAAGGTGTGGGGAAAGGATCCTTTGTTTGGTTTAAAAAAAAAATTATTTGACAGGTCAGAGGCCTGAGCCCCAGTATAGAAAGATCATTGACATGATCAAATGGGCAGTGATCCATGTCCGCTCGCCAGGCCTCTGTGGGTCGGATTTGGTTCGGGGATGCCGGTTGAGTAGTTTTTCTAGGGTTAGCATTAGTTTTTCTGTTGATCATTGTGTGCTGACTGAATACACTGTGAACTTGTTTTAAAGGTCGTTGAGTCTGCTTCCTGAGATCACAGGAATGGATCCAGTCAAGACTGAGGATTTCCTACAAGGCTACTTAACTCCCGTCATGACAAATGGAGCAGAAAGTGCAGTTGTGTTTATACAAGATCAGGTACATTTTGAATACAATTTTTAAATTTTTTTTCTGTGTGAGTTCCAGGGTCACATTTTTCAAGGCAAAAAAAAAAAAAAAAAGAACTATGGTCCCAACAAGCATATTTCAAAAGGTGACTTTAGGTGTTTGCTGAAAGTTATATTTCTTCCCGTGTGGGTTCTGGGGCCCATTGTGGGGACACAAGAATAGACTTGCTGCCTTTCCAACGAGCATGTCATAGTAGTCAACTAATTGGGGACTTTATTTGAAGTTGGCCGAGTGGCAGGGAACAGCCAGCTGCACACAAATAAGCCAGTAAAAGGGATGTACGCAAAACTCAGGCCCTGGCACAAAGCCAAATTCCAAATGTATAAACATTAAGGATTTTCTGCCGGAGCTTACAGCCTGTGAACAGTACAAAAAGAGATGTGTGACAACTCGTCAACACAGAAAAAAAAAGAAACCTCTCCTTGTTTGTTCTTAATCTCTAGAATCTTCCATCTAATGCCATCCTGTTTGGTTCATCATCATCATGTAGCAGGTCCTTTGCAGAACCTCGCTGTCATCACGGTCTGTCTGAAAAAAAAACCTAGGTCTTTCGCCAGCTCTCCCGCCTCATGCACTTTCATACTCAAGGAGTCACTTATATATATCCTGTGCCCATCTTTATGTCGGGCGGCCCCTGCCCCTCCTTCCTAGTACCATGCCTTCTGCTATAATTTTTTCCAGTCTGTCATGGCGCTGTTTGATTAGAAATTTCCGGACTTGTCCAAAACTAATGCCATTCACTTTAATTGAACATTTAGACTGTTTGTTAAATTGTTTTAAATGGTGCTCTGTTGCTTTCAGTTAAACCTGGAACATTTCACAAAATATGCGGACGTGTATTCTCTTGACAGTGATGGCGGTGCTTTCAAGAATGTCAAGGTGAAATTAAAATTTCGTATCATTTGTCAATTTGTATATTTTTACACTGACATTTCCCCATGCGTGTTGCAGACGTCATTTTGCTGGAAATAAGAATAGATAATTTGCTTCTCTAACAAGCAAGTCGTAAAATGTAAAATTTCTTGGTGTATCCTGTGAAGTCAGTCAGAGTACAACTGCCTTAGAGGCAAGGAACCAACAGTCTGCTTAACACTCAGCTAGATCTGTAAAATGAATGTCCGTATTCTGGAAGAAGATCACATTCCAGAAGTGGACACACAACCAGAACTTTCGACAGCAGTTTGCAGCTAGTGAATATTAAGAAGAACTGACATTTTTAGTAGCTATCAAGCTTGCTTGTTCCCTCTGTGGTCATAGTTTTAAACCCTCTGGCGTTGTATAGAAACTGACCAAGATGCCATATTTCTACTGCTTCTTCTCTCTTTCTAGTTTCTTAGGGTATAATTTCACAAAATCTAACAACGCATTTCTTTTGTAATGAAAATTCGCAAATGATAATTTTGTAAGATTCTATTGGGCGAAAGGGTTAAATTGAATTTGTGTCCTTCCTGTATGGGATCCGGGGCCCTATTATAGGGAAGACAAGAATAGACCCACTGCTTGCCCAAAAAGCATGCCGTATGAGTTGACATATTGGGAGCTTCCTTCAATGTCAGAGTGCATCTGCCTGAGAGGCAAGGAACCAGCAGTCTGCTTACAAATGTTTCAGATCTGTAAAACAGATGCACACGCAACACTCAGGTTCTGAAATAGGGCTGCATCCAAGAAGTAGATGAACAACCAGAACTTTCCGCTGGTGAACACGAAGAAAAAGAAGAATTTGTGTCCTGTCACAGATATATTCTAAAACAATTAATTTTTTCCTAACAGAGTTTAATGGAAGATCACTTCTCACTTGAGCTACCCCAGGTAGCCAACCCATCGAAGGCTATTGAGAAGCTGAAAGCATCTTTCACTGGAGCTGTTCACACGGTGAAGTCAGTTGAAGAGGTAGAGGCCCTTACCCTGGATAAAGACAAAAGGGTCTTGATTATTGTACAATTGAAGCCTGTAAGGGGCCACAATGATCATGAGAATATCATCCAGCAGAACGGTAGGTATTTCTAGTATATGGGTTTACTGATTCTTCTACCTTGGTACTTTTAAAATCTTTCTTCTCTTCATTGTCTTGCAAAGAGACAACAGATTAAAGGGTCAGACATGGCTTGGTAATTAAGGTCACAGGCATGAGGAAGATTTAAGGCCATTGTGATGTGTGTAAGGAGTTCCTCACCTTGGGCATTGACCGGCTCTTGGATGGTTTTAAGGATCCTCACGCAAGACTCCTGCTGCACATCCACATTGTGCGTCATGGATAAGGGCTCACTTTTTTGACCTGAACCAAGTTGGCAGGGTATCTCAGAGTTGGTGGCCTCTAGAGATGTGGTATCCAGTCTGGCTGACAACAGCCCCTCCCCCTTACGCATGGGTTAAAATGTGCCCACACAATTTATCTATTTTTGTGTGGCCACAGAAGTCCTGCACCTGAAGGCTGCTCCCTGCTGATCTCAGAAGGGCGCAACCCATGTGAGGTTAAGCAGTCAGTGTGCTGGATGTTACAATTCCTTAGGTGAGCCCAGGAGCAGAGCGTCATGTGTCGGCTCTGCATTTATGGAAGCCTCCTTGATGGCAGGGAATACACATTGTCTGCCTTCCCTTGCGGGCTGACCAGTCTACACGCAGATGCCCTGAACGGGTTCTCCAGGAACACCTGGAACATCAATTCACAACCAAGTGGTTCAGAACTGGCCAGTCTATCTGCCTGCTCATTTTCCAACACATTGGCATAACCTGGAGAAAATATCCATAGGATGCTAACTGCCCGGGACCTTTGAAGTGATGCTTGTCACTTTGCCCGGAGCATGCCTGTCTCCACCTTACTCAACATGCTTTGCTGTAAGTCAGTTACAGCTGAATTCTCAAGCTGGCAGAAGCCAGAAAAAAAAAAAAATACAAAACGGAAAATAATAAAAATAATTTAAAAAAAAAATGATTACAATATTAGTTTAGCTTTATTGTGATTGGCATGGCTACAATTCCACCTTTATATGAAATCAGTCTTGATCCTACTCATCATCATCATCATGTGCCCTGCCAACCGATGTAGGTGCTCATACATCTCCACAGATCATGATCTCTGGTTGCCTGGAACAGCTCTCTTGATACTATCCCTCCATGTCATTGTATCAGCCCATCCAGCATCATCTCTTTTGGTTTGCCTCTACCCCTTTTTCCACTGATATTTCTAGTTCTCACAATGTTCTCCAATGTCTCTCTTCTCATTATGTGGCCAAAGTGTTTGTCTTTTTCTTATTGTTGTATATAGAGATCTACTTTCATTAGTTTATTTCAAGCAATTGTTGTTAGTAACTCTGGCCGTCCAAGGTATTCGTAACATTCGTCTCAGAAACCACATCTCTGTTGCTTCTAAATTCTTCTTATTTTGTTCACTGACATTCCAAGATTCACTGCCATACAGCAGAACAAGTTCTATGAAACGTTTTAGCACCCTCTTTCTGACATTAAATGAGAGCGATTTATTGCATAAGATATTGATCCTGCTGAGCACATATTTATTTCTGTCACTCACAACCTCCATGTACAATATCTCCCCAGACGCCATCATTGGTGCCATCACTAGACATCTGCAGAAGCGCAACGTCAAGTACAGTGCCCTGTTCACTGGCCAGTCTTCCTCTGATGGACAGGTATATCTTTTAAACTCTGACATTGAGTGAATAAATCAGTCAGTCAGTGGCCCAGAAGGCTAACCCAGGCAGCAGACGCCAGCAGAAGTTGGTTGTGTCAGCTGAAAGGCACAAATATCCCTGCAGTTGCAAACGGGCACAGCACATATTCGTTTTTGGGTGAACACGGAAGAAGAAGAAAGGGAATCAGTCAGTGAATGAATGAGTCAGTCAATAAATGGATAAATCAGTCAGTGAATGAATGAGTCAGGCAGTGAATGAATGGGTCAGTCAATAAATGGATAAATCAGTCAGTGAATGAATGAGTCAGGCAGTGAATGAATGAGTCAGTCAATAAATGGATAAATCAGTCAGTGAATGAATGAATGAATCAGGCAGTGAATGAATGAGTCAGGCAGTGAATGAATGGGTCAGTCAGTGAATGAATGAGTCAGTCAGTGAATTAATGAATCAGTCAATGAATAAATGAATAAGTCAGTAAATGAATGAATGAAGCGGCAAATTATCTTCTTTGTCTTATCATTTAATGGCTGTAAACACTGGTGGAAAGTGCTATTTGTTGTCCACTTCTGGACCTAATCTTGTTCGAGAACTTGGGTTTTGCATGCACATTCATTTTACAAATCTGGCTTATTTGTACACACTCTTGGTTTCTTGCCTCTCAGGCAGATGCACTCTTTCAAAGGAAACACCCTTAATTATTCGCCTTATAAGTCATGCTTGTTGGAGGGCTGTCTCCCAGTCCTTAAGAAGGAGTCCCAGAATATCTAGAACAAAAAAGAGGAGAAATACTGACAACTTGAAAGATCTGAAGATCAAGAAAGGATGGCTAATAAACAGCCTCCCGTCTCGGAAGCTGAAATATTTTGGTCATATCAAGCGCTACAACGGATTGTAAAAAATAATAGCAGAAGCCATGGTACCAGGAAGGAGGGGCAGGGGCCGACCAACATGAAGATGGGCACAGGATATAAGTGATTCCTTGTGTCTGAAAGTACATGAGGTGGGAAAGCTGGCGAGAGACCGAGTTTCTTTCAGGCAGACCGTGATGAGAGCCACATTCTGCAAAGGACCTGCTACATGGTATGTGTGAGCTTGTTGTCTAATGTTTGGCAGGGATATTCTCTAGCCATCGGAAAGCTGTCACAACTGCCTTTGTTCTCCCTTTGTGGGTTCCAGGACCCCATTTGGGGGGAGGGGGGGGGGGGGGGTAGTGATAGAACAACCACAACATCCCTAACAAGCATGTCATAAAACATAATTATTCATGTTTTTTCCCTTCTCGAAGTCGGAGTACATCTACATGAGAGGCAAGGAACCAAGAGTCTGCATACAGACACACCATATCTGTAAAACAGATGTGTACTCAACTCTGGAGAAAGACCAGAGTCCAAAAGTGGAAAAACTACCAGATTTTTCTCTGGAGTGTACAGCCATGAAAATGGAGAAGAAGAAGAAGACGATTTCTGCATCTTCTTTCTCATGCTAGAAGTGAGGATGTATTTAAAATAAAATCATTGTCCATTTGCAGCCATGTTGTAAAGGGGTACAACACATTTATGTCCTCGGATGATCAAAGAAGATCTTCTAGATAATTCCCAAGCGACCTACTGTCACCTGTCATGTGACCACCATCCTGCCTTGTTGATGTTTATTGATATTTAATTATTTTCTGTCCAGGCTGACAGTGCGGAATCACGACTTAATCGACATTTACTGGCTGCAACAGACTCAGTCAACGGAACCTTCTTTAATGAGAGCGATGGAAACATCTTTGTCTACATTCGAAGTGCATCACTCTATTTGCAGATAGATAAAGAAAAGGGAAAAGCCATTACCATGAACCTCACATTAACTCCCAGCACGGCCAGTAACTCAACTTATAACAATGAAACTTCAATGTAAGTTCACAGTGTGCCACAGTTTTCAATTTGTTGGTATAGTCAGAATTTCTTAGTTTCCTTTTATGGTCACAGTTTTCATTTTGTGAGTGTTTGGTCACAGTTTTCATTTTATGAGTGTTTGGTCACATTTTTCATTTTATGAGTGTTTGGTCACAGTTTTTATTTTATCAGTGTTTGGTCACAGTTTTCATTTTATCAGTGTTTGGTCACAGCTTTCATTTTATCAGTGTTTGGTCACAGTTTTCATTTTATCAGTGTTTGGTCACAGTTTTCATTTTATGAGTGTTTGATCACAGTTTCCATTTTATGAGTGTTTGGTCAGTTTTCATTTTATCAGTGTTTGGTCAGTTTTCATTTCATGAGTGTTTGGTCACAGTTTTTATTTTATGAGTGTTTGGTCACAGTTTTTATTTTATGAGTGTTTGGTCACAGTTTTTATTTTATGAGTGTTTGGTCACAGTTTTTATTTTATGAGTGTATGGTCACAGTTTTCAATTTGTTTGTATAGTCAGAGTTTTAAGTTTCCGTGTATGGTCACAGTTTGTTTAGTCAGAGTTTTCAGTTTGTTGGCATATGGTCAAAGTTTTCAATATATGTGTGTATGCTAGCTATTGCATCATCACATTCTGAAGGAAACATGACCAACAGAGGCCTGAAGGAAACATGACCAACAGAGGCCTGAAGGAAACATGACCAACAGAGGTCTGAAGGAAACATGACCAACAGAGGTCTGAAGGAAACATGACCAACAGAGGTCTGAAGGAAACATGACCAACAGAGGCCTGAAGGAAACATGATCAATAGAGGCCTGAAGGAAACATGATCAATAGAGGCCTGAAGGAAACATGATCAATAGAGGCCTGAAGGAAACATGACCAACAGACGTCTGAAGGAAACATGACCAACAGAGGTCTGAAGGAAACATGACTAACAGATACCTGAAGGAAACATGACCAACAGAGGCCTGAAGGAAACATGACATACAGACGTCTGAAGGAAACATGACATACAGACGTCTGAAGGAAACATGACCAACAGACGTCTGAAGGAAACATGACTAACAGAGGTCTGAAGGAAACATGACCAACAGATACCTGAAGGAAACATGACCAACAGAGACCTGAAGGAAACACCTGGTTACAGTCCAATTATGCCTCACCACAGGTGTTAAGTTTCACTATTGCTTTCAACACTGTTGGTTTCTGAGCTTGAAGAGCTCTGTAACACAATCCCCCATGTAGATGGTACTTTATATAAGTTTCAGAGAAATGTTTCTAAAAAAAAGTTGCATATCGTTAACATCAGTGGCTCTTAACCTTCTTAATGCCGCGACCCTTTGAAACAGTTCCTCATGTTGTGGTGACCCCGGACCATAAAATTATTTTAGTTGCTACTTCATAACTTCAGTTAATATGTGGTTTCTGAAGGCGACCCCTGTGAAATGGTCGTTTGACTCCAAAAGGGGTCGCGACCTACAGGTCGAGAAACACTGCATTACAGGATGTTCCAAAACCAACAGCATTTTTTGCTGTTTATGGTTTTGCTAAGCAATTTTACATTCAATAGCTTTCTGAATGGCCAGCTCTTAATCTGCAACTGGTATTGAACCAGGTACCTCGGAGTTATGAAGCTCATTTACAATGCCTAAGCCACACACCCCAATAGTTGCAAGACCTTTTCAAGTGATATGAACCCAATGCATACGATTTGAGTTAATTACTTTCCCTGTGTGGGTCTGCAACTCCAATTGTGGGGGTTAAAAAAAAAAAAGCTCTCTGTCTCCCTAACATGTATGTCGTAAAATAGGAGTGCTTGCTTCGTTTGAAGTCAGAGTGCTTGCAAAACATGAGTTCAGGAACAAGACCAGCGTCCAGAAGTGAACGAACCACCAGGACTTTCTGCCAGTAAACACAAAGAAAAAGAAAACTTGGATCTTCTCTTCGATTCACAACCAGCTATTTGAATAGAATAATATTTTGTGATGTCATCCTTTCACATTTAATAATATGTGTTTTGTTTCTTGTTTGACAGAGTCAGACTGGATTTTCCAAATGTTTCAGCCAATGGCACAGAGTATAATGTCTCAATTGTGTAAGTGACCTTCATTCCTAACCTTGCTTATGTGTTTCATTGCTGCCCCCAGGGAGAATGACTTCTGTGTAACAAATCATTGTTATCATACTTACTGACTTAGTCCCCCTTCGTTTACCTTGGGGTGTAGTTGTTTGCCAGAGAGATCGCCGGATGTCTCTATCAGCAGTTTTCTTTTTGGCTTTATTCCATTCGAATTCTCTGCCAGTCAGGTAAGGTTGGATGTTGTCTTCCCAGCAGACACTGGGGGGTCTGGTTCTTGGCATTCCAGGCCAGCCGAGTCTCTCCCATTCTGCATAGCTGTCCAAACCGTCGTAACTGCGAGCAATCCAATCGGGTTTGGAAGGCTTAGGTTTCAAGATATTGATGTATTGTCTGATTGCAAACTTTGTCATTTGGACCACTTTTCTCAGATATCGCATTTCTGAAGCCTGAAGCTGGCTTTTGTGAGCTGTTGTCATTGCCCATGACTCACACCTGTAGGCCAGGACTGGCACATAGGTAGAGCCGTAAACAGCCATTTTCGACATCTTGTCAATTTCTCTTTCTGTTTTTTTATACAGGAGCATTAATATCTTCTTCATGCGGTCCAGATCTCTCCACTGACCATACAGCTTTGTCTTGATTGAATGTTGAATTAGGAATCGACATCACAGCACTCGGAACACTCCCATAAGTGCTCCATTTTTATCTTCAGCAGCAAGCGAAGAGTTTCACTTCCGATGGCACCAGTAACCGTCTAATTGTATATCCGTCTCATCCTTGACCTGAGTGTTGAGCGTCGGCCAGATCCCCTTATAACCTCTCTCAGTGCCATTCTCCTCAGACCGTAATGATCTGTCTGCGCCTCTGCACTGTTCACTCGTTCCCAAAGGACCCTCACAATATCTAGCTTATCATACATCAGTTCATTACCAACTGGTGCATAGATACTTTGTCTTGATTGAGATGGGAAAGGCCAGATGGCTTCTCTGTTGGCAGCATGCAATTTGTGATTGCTGGAGTACACGCTCAGCATTTTCAGGTGCTAAGTTGCAGAAACATCTCGATGTTTCCTACATCTTCTTGTTCTTCTTTTCTCTACTCCTGGAAGGCCTTTCAGCATCAGGGCAGGAAGAGATCACTGGAATGGGCCCTTCTGTTCACAGTGTGTCTGATATTTCTGCGGTCCGTTTTCTGCATGGTCACCCTCTGGCTATGTTACCACTGTATCTGTATAACATTGCTGTCTGTGGTGCCCTGTCTGATGCCAATCTTGTTACATGACCAAACCATTTGATTTGTTGTCTACCTTTAAAATTCAGTATTGGTTGTGTGCCGACTCTCCTCCTGATATCAACGTTCCTTAGTCGATCTTTCCTGATTACACCTAGCATAGTTGGTAAACATATAGTCGTGACTATATTCCTTCTTTCCTCTGAAGACTGTGTCCATGTTTGACATTGATAGCATAGCATTGGTAAGAAATTTGTGTTGAACAGTGTTCTTTTAGTGTTCATATTCACTTGCTTGCATTCCTGCATCTTCATTGTCTATTCCTCCATTTAGTTCTATCCCGGGCTGAGATGGATATACAATCAGACGGTTACTGGTGCCATCAGAATTTGAACTTGATGCTGAAGATAGGGACGGAGCACTGATGGGAGTGTTCCGAGTGCTGTGATGTCAATTCTTAATTCATATTCACATGCTTGCATTCCTACATCTTCATTGTCTATTCCTCCATTTTATTCTATTCTGTGCAGTCAGTTTAGAATCACAGATTTAGTCGAGTCCATCACCTTTGACCTGTCTCATCAGCATTTGTTGTTAGAGTTTCTTGTGGGCGTCCTCATCTCTTTATTTCCCACTTTAATGCCTACATAATTCTAAATTACATATAGAGACAGCAAATCAGTTGGTTTGCCCACTTGGAGAGAATGCCTTCTGAGGCTGTACCATACAAGATATACACCAAAAGATGAGAGGGACATAGAGCAAAACATAGACCGAGAACAAGATGGTAAGATAACATCAGAGAAATTCTACAGCACCACGATGGTAGCAGTCAGAAGAACACAAAGCAGGACCTTGTATCACCCTCAACACCCAAAGCGGTAAAAGATGATACAGAGAAGAAGAAGAAGACAAATACCTACGTTGTGAGAAAAAAAAACTGTACCATATGTTATTGGCTGTTGTGGTTTTTTAAGGCAAAATTAGGTCCAATAGTTTGCCATTGCTTTTTGGACAGTCAGTTTCTTGATACCACTGTCGAAAACGGCGCAAGGCAGCAGCTGGGATCGAACCTGTCATCTCAGCATTACAAAGTGCATTCCTCTAGAGAAGTGATGAAGTGAATCTTGATAAGAAAATGTGGTTTATCAAATAGGCCAGCAGCCGACAGCTAAATGGTTCAATATACGCTCAGGACTGAGGCTGTTTGTTCATTTGCCAGATCTGTCCACTGTCTGAACAGAATATGGACATCAAACTAAACATGGACAGAGAACAGAACATGACCATGGACATGGAACAGAACATGAACAGAGAAATGAATGTGGACATGGACCAGAACATGGACATCAAACTGAACATGGACCAGAACGTAGACATGGAACAGAATATGGACAGAGAATTAAACGTGGACATGGAACAGAACATGATGGACATTGAACTGAAAGAACTGACAATGTCTGCTGGCTCGATTGGTTTGAGTTTGAATTTTATAAAGTCCGATTTTGTTTTTAAAAATGACTGTGACACCCAGGTCGACCCAGCCAAAAAAATTGTTACCAAACAAATTCCTAGGAAGTAAAAACTGCCAGTTCGATGTTGAAGACACTATTGGGTCTACAGAAATTTGAATATAACATCAAAAACCTGATAGACCACTGACCTGAAAAAATATCCTTATATTGTGTGTGTGCATGTTGGGGGGGGGGGGGGGGGGGGGGGGGGGGGGGGGGGGGGGGGGTGGGGGGGGGGGAGGGGGGGGGGATCATGAAAAAATATAAAACCAAATGAAAAGTAGAACCAGCAAGCTTCACAATATAACAAATGGAAAGTGAATGTTACAGCTACAAAGCCTCAATCAGCACAGTCAACACAAAATTACTTAACTGATGCACTTCCGATAGAAATCACATTGCTGTTTGTCCTCAGAATGCTTTAAAAAATAACAACTGACGAATGTGATAACTTTCTGTTGTGTGCTATTTTCAGTACAGAAGCCGAGCGATACACTGACCGCTGGGTAATGAGTGTGTCTCTGTACGTCGAAGGTGGGGTGGCCCCAGACTCTAACGTGTCCCTGCAGAATGCCAGCTTGAGTTCTGGGGAAAACGATTTCGTCATCCCCATCATCTACTCCTGGCATTGTACAGAAATGAAGTTGTTTCTGGACACAGTGAATTACCCAAACAGTCGCTTTGCTGGCTCTTACATCCTCCTCGATGGCTACCAGGTAAGAGTTTTGGTAATTTCTTTGTGAACTAAATGCAGCCTGAAATAAAGTACCAGGGTGAGTCTGTCAAGGCAGGATTCAGACACAGACAGTCATCATCATGTGCCCTGCCAACTGGCATTGGTTCTCATGCATCTCCACGGATGACCATCCCTGGTTGCCTGGAATAGCTCTCTCTTGATGATATCCCTCCATGCCATGGTTTCGGCCTATCCAGCATCATCTCTCTTGGTCTGCCTCTACTCCTTTTTCCACTGATCTTTTCAGTTGTCACGATGTTCTCCAGTGTCTCTCTTCTCATTATGTGGCCAAAGAACAGTGTCTCTTTCTTATTGTTAGTTACTCTGGCTGTCCAAGGTATTCGTAACATTTGTCTCAAAAAAGCACACCTCTGCCATATAGCAGAACAAGTTCTTTGTAACATTTTAGCACCTCCAAAGACAGTGGGTTGAGTAATTGCAAAACTCTGTCCATGCAGTTGGCTTCATTGTTGTGACAGGGCATGAGTTTTTGTTGGCAATGAAAAAGCTGATAGATTGGCAGTTTCTGCCTTCGTTGCAGCTGGCGGGCCTATGGATTGCATCAAGATTGTTAATGCCCTTAGAGAAAAAGGTCGATTAGAGGATTTTGGGAGTAGCAAGTCTACATCACTGCTGCAAATATGAGAATTGAGAGTAAAGATCAGCACTGCTAAGGCTCAGATATACAACACTCATGCAAGATGATTTGTTAACCAGGATAGGACTGGCACTATTGACTGCAGAACACTAGTGCATATGTGGGAGGAGGTCCCCATGTGTGTTCCGGGGCCTTATTGTAGGGAAAACAAGAATAGACCCTCTGCCTGCTCAAAAGTATGTTGTAAGAGTCGACTAATTGGGAGTTTCCTTCAAAATCGGAGCGTATCTGCATGAGAGGCAAGGAACCAATAGTCTGCATACAAATGAGTCAGATCTGTCAAACGGATGCACATGCAACACTCAGGTTCTGAAACCGGACTGCAGTCCAGAAGTGGACAAACAACCAAAACTTTCTGCCAGAGTTTACAGCCGGTGAATGTCGCAGAAGTTGGAGGAGGAATCTGAGCACCTATGAAGTTTGTCCAGAGTGCTTTAAAAATATGACCCACCAGCTCGTAACTCATCATGTTTCCCATTTGGGTTCTAGGGCCCTATTGTGCGAAAACAAGAATAGACCCGCTTCCTCCCTAACAAGCATGTTGTAGGAGTCGGAGTGCATCTGCCCCAGTGGCAAGACACAAATAAGCCAGTAAAACAGATGTACACGCAAAAATCAAGAGCTGGCAAAACCTGAGTCCAAATGAACGAACAGCTAGGACTTTCCACTAGAGCTTAAAGCTAGTGAACACAGAAGAAGATGAAAACTCATTACAGTTTTGGTTGGTGGCAGCGTCTTATCAGCACTTTCTGTTGTAGGTCTTTCCTGGGTAGGTGTGAGCATGTTTCACCAGAGCCTGCATTGAAACACTATCAAGAAAATGAATGAATCAATCAAGAACTGTCATCACCACACTCAGGACACTCTTATACATGCTCCAGCCTCCTCCTTAATAGCCAATTAAGAGTTAACTATCTGGAAAAAGGTTCAGCCATCAACAAGCCTCATCCCCTGTTACTAATTAGGAATGCTTCTTTTGAAGTCAGAGTGTATCTGCCTGAGGGGCAAGATATCAGCAGTTTGCATACATATAAGTGGATGTGCACGCAACACTCACGTTCTAGAGCAAAGCAACAGTCCAGAAATGAACCAGCCACCAGAACTTTTTACCAGAGTTTACAGCTGGTGAACGCGAAGAAAAATAATATTCATTCCAGTGAAATACTCATCAAAGAGCTTAAGTGTAAACTTTGGTCTTTAGTCAAGGTTCCACATGACTGCAGACAGGTCGCCCCAAAAACTGCTCAGTTCCTGAGCCAGTGGAAGAAATACAAAATATCCTTTACTGACCCATCAGAAAACAGCAGAATCCTGAAGCTAGTATCCGAGAGTAAAAATGCCTAAACAGCTGTCGGGTGTGCCAGTAATGACAGTCCCACACCAGATTTGCAGCTCACTGTTGGTGCAAATAGTCAGGTAGTTAAACGGAGGGGACAGAATTAGGGCAAACCATTAGAGTGGCAAGGACTTCACAGCAGTTGGGACATAAACCTTTGCTGTTGGTAAGCCAGCAGATCGACCACTGGACCTCCTTGTGTGGGTTCCAGGGGCTTCATCTTCAAGAGAAAAGAATAGGCCCACTGTTCACCTCAACAAGCATGTCAGAGTGCACCCGCCTGAGAGAGAACTTTCCACAAGAGCAGAAAAATGAGTTGGGTTGTACATAAAGCACTCCGGACACGTCTATAGGGGTTTGCTCAGATTACCCTTTCAACATATACTTCAGCGTTTTGTGGTTAATAGTGCCACTGCTATGCTAGTTAGCAAAACTGTTTGCACATCCGGTGTGCCTCCTATGCTTGGCTGTGTTGATCTTTTACACAGCTGATGAACCACCACCAAACCAGCAGGGTCTTCTTTTCTTCTTCTTCCTTTCTAGCCCCCAGTAGAGCATAGGCCCTCAACCAACTCACGCCAAGTCGTTCTATCCTTTGCTATCACATGCAGCTTTCCCCATCTTTCTAATAACTTCATTTTCCAGCTCCCTTCTCTATATATTTTTTTGGCCTTCTTCCTAAATCATAGAGTTCCAACATTCCAGATGCCAAAACGGAAGGTTTTCCTAGATGTGAGGTTGTTTGCTTTCTCCACACCGTGTCATACTTCTTCTACTTGAAGAGCCTCTCATCATCTTGGTTGGCTGGGTTTTACTTGCTTCTTTTTTTAACTTATCCATGGTTGGTTGGTTTTTGTGGTTATTGTTTTTACAGGATGAGGTAGCCAACTTCAAGACCAACCCTACCCTTAGTCACTTCTTACGACTTGCCTGGTAGGGTGCAGTGTCACTACTCTGTTTCCTGTGAGTGCCCCATACACACTTAGGTCTTTTTTAGCATTGTATTATTTTCCGAGATAAATGTTGCCACTAAAATGTGTATCTCTGTTTCTGTTCACAGGTGCAGCCCTTCAACATCTATAAACTCAACAAGTTCATGGACGCACAGGATTGCGTGCCTTACTTCACTACGGCCATCTGGATGTTTCTCTTCTCAGCCATCTTCCTTCTCTCCATCTTGATATTTGGTGTGCTGATGGTGCTCAGTCTCTCTACCATGGACAAGTATGATGATCCGAAAGGAAAGACGATCTCTGTAGCTCAAGGAACAGATTAACCTCGACCGCACTAGGCAGATTCTTGCTACAAATCAAGACTACAGGGGGGGGGGGGGGGGGGGGGGGTAACCGGGGGGGGGGAAATAAAATATTATAGAACTTGCAATTTGAACACTGATCATTTGAAATTTCTCTTGAAATCTCATTGTTGTGGTCACTGTTTTGATTTTTTGATTTATTTTTTTTTTTCCAAATGACTGCTTCACAATGACTATACTGTTTGCAAAAACAAATGCATAGTGATCTGATGGCACATTTTTATTTGTTGACCGGAAAGCTTGTACGCCTAAACACTAATGATGACCCAGAAGCTAAAGAAATATCAATTTATTGGTTGAACCCCAAGGTATTCTTGATGGCAAATTAAAGTTTCACTCATTAAATTACAAAGATTTTAAATGTCAAAATTATGCTCCTTTCAGAAGCTGTGTTTGTTTGTGAATACCATAGAAAAATTAACCTGGGAAATAATGAAAATGATTGTCAAAACAATTAATATGCTTTGTGATGTAAAAAACCCAGTGTTAGTGAAAAACTTTTGTCTATGATGGTTAAAAAACTGAAACTGCTTCCTGGCAAATTGAAAATGAAGTGCAATCTGTGATGTCAACATGAATGGCAGGAACAAATAAGCATGGCTTTTGACCATTCCCTTCCTCTACTGTAGCCTTCCTTTGTGTTTTTTGTTGTACAATTAGAAAACAGAACACAGTATAATGTGATAGCCAAGCGTGTAGTGTGTTTACTGTATCAGATCTGGTGCCAGGTTTTGAAAGTGTTGTCTGTTCAACCACCGTTCTGTAAATGTGATAAAAATTGTGTGAAAATGTGCATGGTGCAGGTGGGTTACTGCTAATTTGTAATGACTGGTCACGATTACATGTGAAAATGGGAGACTGCCATTTGCTGCGGACATTTCTATGTTCAGTTTCAAGTTTTTATAGATTGTTGTAAAAATTGGTTTTGTTTCTTACTATGTTTCTTTATTTGTTTATGAAAGAGGTTGGTTTAGTGAATTATGATAACTTTATATTCATCATTCCATTCAAGAATTCACACTTTATTGTCATCGACTTGTTTATATATGTATCTCTATAGTGTGTGTAAGCGTCTGTGAATCAGGCATTGTGAAACGCGCTTTATAATGCCGGGGTGCTAAGTTTGATCCCAGCTGCAGACAATATGTCTTGTGTTGGTTTTGGCCGTGGTACTGAGAGCTGACAGTTCAGTAAGCAATGGCAAACTACTAAATGTAAAATTTGCCCAGAAAAACCACACCAGCAAAAAAACTATAGGGGTGGTTCTGCAAAGGATACACAACTAACTTTATATACATATATATACACACACATTTATATATATATATATATATATATATATATATATGTCACATGACAGTAATGTATAGTGAAGACAGCTGCACAAGGTTATACAGTGTAGACCGCTCAAGGCGATCTCAGATGTGACAAATTTCTGTTGTGAAGAGCAGTTTTTTTTAAAATGCTAACAGTTTTTCTTGTTGGAACTCTGGAAAAGAGGTACTTCTGATAAGAAGAACCATTCCTCGGGTCCCGGGTTAGTTCTGCAATGTAGTATTTGCTCAACTGATGTTTCAAACATGCACTCATTTGGAGAACTGAGTTACCATTATACAAATAAATTTTAAAAAGTAATATATACCCTCATGGCATGTTTGCATTTCTTTTTTT